TAAAGAACCTGGAGTGATTACTAACCCATCTGAGGATAGAGAAGATTCTTGGTCTGATCGTATGTGCTCATATAGACTGCCCAGGTCGGAATGTAGCCAAGTAGCATTGGGCCGAGGCCTCTGTATAGGCCGCGGATGCCATCCTCGACCCAGATGATGCGCGCAGTGCCACCGAGGCCTTTGTAGACAGTGCGGGGCGGACCAGTATACTTTCGTGGGCGAAATGAGCCCTGCGCCTGCAATCGCGTTTTAATGACATCAAGCGGGCAGGTGACGATGCCGGAAGCGACGCCGGCAGAAGCCCCGCACAGCGCATTGACGGAGCCGTCAGGAAGGTTTGCGACTTTGACAGCCAGGTTCGCAATGGGCGCGCTCCAGGCACTCTGCTTGGTGGGTATCGACATGTCGCGCGGTTGGACAGGCCGGGCGGATGGCGCATACCGGTCGGGGACTTTCGTCGGGGACGGCGGCTCGGGATCGTGTGTCGACATGGGTGGCACTGCGTGTGCCGATTCATTAGAGCCAGTCTATGGGCGTGGTTGAAGAGTGGGTGGGTGCGTACAGGCCGTCGTCCCCTTTGCGGTGCCTCAGTGTGCGGAAACCCCGCAGCACTTGAGTAACACAAGAATTAACGATTGTTCGGCTCCATTGACGAGCGGACCAAGTGCGGAGTTGTCTCTGAGGATGCCAGGCCAGGCGACTGCACCAACTGTCGCGGGGCGGTTGTCTGGGGCGCGGGGTGAGAGAAAGGGCGGCGTGGGGTGGCGGTGGTGGTGATGGTGGATGCTGTGGTGGTGGTGCAGAGCTTGGTTCTCGATGCGACGTCAGAGCCAGTGTCAAGCACGAGTGAAGCTGCTTGAGCGGGTGGGGACTGCCCGATCGCTGACTAAGTCCTGGTCCGCCGCCGGCCAAGCTCAGCCTATTGGCTTTCGTTTCTTTCGCATTACGACCTCACCACCTCCGACTGTCAAAACTGCAATTGACGGCAGCATCACGACTCGACATCCCCGATTCGCCGTCGAACCACCGCAACCATGTCTGCGCCGTCTCTCGCCCCCTACATCATGAAGCGCCCGTGGCTGCAGCGCTGGATGAAGCCCCTCTCCAACTGGTACTGCAACGCAGCTGGCTACAGGCAGCTCGGCCTGAGGTACGGAGCCCCGATGCGAACGCCATCTACCGCCGAGGACAGGAAAAAATTACATATGGCAGGAAAAGTAGGGTGTGGAATAATTGGCTGACGGAAATTGCTATACAGGGCCGATGACCTGCTCCCCGAGGAGAACGACACCGTCCAGACCGCTCTAAAGCGTCTCCGACCCCAGGAGGCCTACGACCGTGTCTTCCGTCTGCGCAGGGCTTTCCAAGTACTTTAAGATCAAAAATATAGGAAGGTTGGACATCAAGTGGCTAACATGTCGCAGCTCTCCATGTCCCACCAGCTTCTACCCAAAGAGGAGTGGACCAAGCCTGAGGAGGTACAATTACTACTCCGCATGGATCTATCAGACGCTAACCGGCGACAGGACGTCCCATACCTCAGCCCCCTGATTACCGATATCGAGGCCGAGATGGCTGAGCGTGAGGACTTTGAGACCATGATTGTCCAGAAGAGGCAGAAGAACGCCGCCAGTGGTCACTAAGTCTGTGGTCATAGGTCTGGCATGACCATTTTCGGGCTGGATGGAGCGAGTTTGGGGTTTGTGCAATAGAGTGTACCATACCAATGTCTTTCGTACAGGAATCATCTCCATTGCATCCGAATCATTGTTCTCTTTTTTTTGGTCTTTGGCACGTTGGAATGATCGATATGATGTCCACCAATACTCTGGATATATTGCCGGACATGCGACAGAGTGGCCCACAAGACCTCGTTCCGTGAGGAGTATTGTGATTGTGGGGAAACATTGCATCGTCGATGCGAAATACGTTTCTACCAATTTTCGAGTGACTTCACTTGCACATAAATGCTTTCTACGCATCACAAACTGTAAGGGTCGACACAATTGTAAAGGTGGCGACTTTTATCGACGCGGCGGTGCAACTACGGATAAACGCATCATAGACTGCAAAATACACGACCAATATGTCTATCCCCGAATAATCTCAACTCCATTGAAAGAATTGGTACAGCATTCTATGCACAACGCGTATTTCTGGTATTGTAACATTTGTAGCCCAAACTCATTTGAATCTTACCGGACACATGTTCAAAGTGTACAGACTGCAAGCACGAAGAGATGTTTCCGTGCATCATGCAGAACGCAGTTGGAGAGACAATAATACTCTCATACCAGTTCACAGGACGAGACGTAATAAGGAGCCTTCACTAACTGAAGCAAGATGGCAGGATATGATATGTGTAATTGGCTTTCATTTCTGTATCTTCACTTCAGTCATACTGTGCCATTGTGGACACCAGGGGTACATGATATATCCAGAGAGACATTGACGATCACAACTCCATCATCTCCTGTCCATCAGATTTCACGTCTCCTCCATCGCCACCGTCCTCATCCACCCTCGTCAAATTAATCCTAAACGCAGACAACTCCAACGTTCCAAACGACCCATTCTCGCGCTCATCCCAAAACACCACCTCATTAAATGGTATACCAGCATAACTCGTCGTCTCATAGTTCTCCACACAGAAATCATCCCAGATACCCCCCGTCCCTTCACCCCGCTCCTCAGCAAGCATGCCGCGCCACTCTTCTCCGAGCGCCCTCTCCTCGTCGCGATACAAAAGCGTCGGGCTAAGCTGAATGTAAAACTGCAATGGTGCAAATATCCTGACAACAGGAGAGTTGTACATATTCGTCCCGTTCGATATCCAACGCGTGACAACCAAGCCCCGATGATCTGCTTTCAGCGTAACCGTAGAATTGAGCTTAGAATCGACAACGCTATATGTACCGGCGTAGCGCTCGTTCAACTGACGAATAGCAAGTTTCTCAGCCGCACGGATCAAAGTGACGGTGATTACTTCTCTGAGTGTGAAAAGTATCCGACTGGGTCCAGCGGAGAGAATCGTGATGCCCAAGTCGTATTCTGGTACGGCCATGATGATAGAGGTGTATCCTGGGAGACCACCACCTTTGGTGATGAAGCGTACCATTCGTTTCGAGTCGGCGAGGATACGGTCTGTGTGGAGGATTTCCCAGGGAATGCCGTAGAAGGAGTTTAAGCCGCGTGAAGGCGAGACGGGATTGATCCAGTTGATTGCGGGTGTCACGGCATTGAAGTGCGTCAAGACGTAGCGGAGGAACTTGGATAGATCGGTAGAGGAGCTGTATATACCGCCAGTAGGGTTTTGGACGCCTTCGTCTACGTCCCAGAAGTGAAGGCCCGAGGGGATTACGCCGGCGGAGTCGGGGGGAAGGGAGAATGTGCTTTTGGACATTTTTAAGGGCTTGAATATGGCTTCGTCGATGTATGATTCGTATGTTTGGTTTCGGACGTGTGACAGGACGAGTCCGAGGATCTCGTAAGCGACGTTGGAGTAGGTGGATGCTTGATTTGGTGCGAAGAGTGGGCGAAATTTCTTGAGCTGGTTGAACAAATCTAAGCAGAACTCAGTTAGTGAGATGATCTTTTCTTTCTTTCTACCAAAATGCCAACCTTTCCCAGTGCAAGGCGTCTCATAATTCGGCGAGTACTCATCGCACGTCGGCAAGCCTTTTCTGGAAACATCAGGCGGCAGGCCCACCTTGGCGAGATCAAGACCCTGATGGATGAAATCGTTCTGTGCCCCTAAGAAATCAAATCAGCTTTTGCTTACCTTGATCTTTATGGCATGCTTGAAACATGGTGCGATTTTTGTTATCGGATACCTTACATTCGCGTGGGATACCGCTGAGTTGGCTGGCCAGGCTACGCAGCGTGATATCTTTCCATGGAATGCCACCATTGGACTTGTCTCCCAGTTCCTTCAGATACGTATTGACCGTATCATCCAAACTCACATTTCCAGCTGCGTGTTGATACAGGACCCCTAGAACAGTAAAAGCTTTTGTTATACTAGCGATGCGGTAGACAGCGTCGCCATTGACTTGTGGGATATCCGGGCGTGAAGCATTGCGCTCGCGCGCTGTGTGGTGTTGCGACCAGAGTGTTTCTTTTGAAGAAGTAATTTCTATAGATAAAGAGGTTTGGTCGAATTCTGGTGCTGCGATAGCTACCGTGAGTGCTTTATTTATCGACTCGAATGCTTCTTGGAGAAGAGGATCATGAGCATCGTATCTAGGCGGAGGATGCGCAATATTGGGCTCAAAACACCCTGCACTTGCGAATGCAGCTAGAAACGGGGTAAACAGAAGCACCAGCATTGTTTCGAGGGTGGAGTGTTTACAAGAAGTATTGTCAATACAACAAATGCAAATGTGGGTTTTTGTATGACATCCCTGCATCATAAGAAATGGTGCCTTGCGGCTTGACTTTGATCGGCGATGCAATCTGCTTCAACAACCCTCTTCTACATCCCCGCGTAACATACCCATTCTATTGTTTCTTTTAAAAAAAATTCACGTAATATCGATCTATGGCAAGCCCCAGATTCTGTTATTATTATGATCATTTGTTGTGCCAATGTGGAGAGGTGTGATCACGTGCAACAATATGAGCCAGGCCCGCAACGGTGGTACCAGTATATATTCAGGTGCTGTGGGTTGTTCCCAGCAAGTTGAAAACAATATAATTACTTGAGCGTCACGTCCGCCATTTTGAAATTGTGTAATTGATACGTAAGAGATATGAGTCGACAGATGGAAAAGAAATACCATGGTTCATACAACAGCCACCCATCAAGCTCAAAAATGTACGCCCAGTCACATATCATGTGGTTTACCTTATACTCTGTTACTAAGTAGGTGTATATTTCCTCCCAAAAAGAGCGCCGGGTGTATATTTTAGCAAAGAAAGTCACTTTCTGTTTCACACTCTTATTGCACACACAAACGTAAACGAACCATCGACTTTAATTTACACCAATACCAACCACAATGATCAACACAAGCATTTCTCCGGAAGGCGAATCTACCGATCGACAAGCAGTCCGAATCGCCGAACTGGAGGACAAGCTCGCTACTTACGAAGCTCGTAACTATGAGCGCAACCGTAAGATCCGTGGCTGTGCCACTATCATGCTCAGTGGTCTATCACTCTTCATTTTCACGTCTAAAGCACTTCATTTGGATGTCTGGCTTAGTATGACATTTCTTATAGCCTTTATGATCGTAAGTTATCTTACTTGATGCCTGGGTAACATATGTCTAATGACGTGGATAGGCTGGCGCAACACTGTGTGATATAATGGTCAAGCAAGGACAAAATATTCCAGAGCAGCGATCTGATAGAATAAACGCGTGCAATTGTAATCAGTGTCAAAAGAGCACGACGGCGCTTCGGGGAGGGGTCAGTGGTGATTTTGCAGCAAGTGAAGTATATCTAAAGAGCTAAGCTATACAGATGCATAGAAAGCAAGAAATGAGAGGTTAGTCTATCGCTTTACTTCCTGTTGATCCAGAAGGGTTTGTAGGTTTTTAGATTTTGTCTGTGGGTGATGGAGATGTATGGGCTATATGAACTTGACAACTAACAACTACCGTCTATTACTTGGTTCTCAACAAATTGAGTCTTACACGGCTTAGCCATGCCTTGAAATAAATTTGATACAGTATCAGATTCGTGAACATGACCTGTTAGCATCCGGGGCTTCTGATTGCTTTTTTATGGACCCGGCGCTCGGAAGGCAGAACGGCAAATGGTCATTATAAAGCCATCTTCTCATTGGCAGGCGCTACCTTCAAATCTTACCAAAGTCGTGAATAATTATGTTGATCGTTCCATTTAGAGAATGCAGAGCATAACGTGCGGGATCAGTAAGCTGGCCGGAACAGTAAGCTGGCCGCCCCACCAAACTCAACGCGACACTTTACACAACAACCACCATGCCACGACAACAACGTTCTGTACAGACCTCTCGTGAAGGTAGAATAAGCCTTGCTATCGCGTCTTATCGTAATAATCCAAAACAATCTATCTACTCTCTTGCGAAAGCGTACGACGTGCCAAAATCAACACTCCAGACACGCCTCCGCGGTATCCAGCCACGATCAGAGGTTCCGTCTACTAGGCGTAAGCTATCACCTAGTGAGGAGCAGTCTCTTATTCAGTGGATTCTAGAGCTAGATCAACGAGGCTTTCCGCCCCATATCATTAACGTGCGACGGATAGCAGACGCGTTACTCGCAGCGCGTGGCCAAGATCCACCTCCACAACCTGTAGGCAAAAAATGGGTGTCACGCTTTATCCAGAGCCAGCCAGAGCTTCAAACAAAGTGGACTAGAAGATTATATAGCCAGCGTGCCTCCTGTGAGGATCCTATCGCAATCGCAGCCTAGTTTAAGCTAGTAGAAGAGACGCGCTAGACGTACGGCGTCCTTGACTAGAATATCTACAACTTTAACGAGACTGAATTCGCAATAGGCGTCGCTGCAACGTTAAAAGTAGTCACTAGCGCTGATAGAGTTGGTCGCGCAGTTATCATACAGCTAGGTAATCGCGAGTAGGTGACAGCTATCGAGTGTATCAATACATCTAGCTGGTGTCTTCTACTCTTCATGATCCTGTGTGGTAAGGTCTACCAAGATATTTGGTATCGTAACCTCCTACTAGACTGGACTATTAGCGTCTCAGACAACGGCTGGACGACAGACGAGCTAGGCGTAGAGTGAGTAAAGCACTTCAACCAGCATACAGCCGCTCGTACGGTTGGAGTCTATTAGCTTCTTATTATAGACGGCCACAGTAGCTACGCTACACCAGAGTTCGACTAGTACTGTACAGAGAATAAGATCATCACTCTCTGTATACTGCCTCACACGTTGCACCTTCTATAGCCTCTAGACGTAAGCTGCTACTCCCCTCTCAAGCGCGCGTACGGACGCGAGGTAGAGAAGCTCGCCCGCTATGGCGTCTACTATATTAACAAAACAGACTTTCTTATAGCCTATACACGGATCCGGCCGACTATATTCACGTAGCAGAATATTCAGGTAGGCTTTCAGGCGACAGGCCTTATCTCTCCTTGTCCAGATCGCGTCCTATCGTCGCTAACTGTCGTCCGAACGCCATCTCCATCACAGACTACTATAGATAATAACGTTATAGCGCAGACAGTAGCGTAGATAGAGATACTACATACAGTAGCAGAGGTTCAGCAGCAGCTACGCTATCTCTAAGAGCGGCTGCGCCGGCAGCTAGAGAGCCTAACAAGCGTCGCGATACGCCAGCTCGCGAAAAGCGCTCAACTTGCGATGTAATCAGCAACAATACTTATAGAGGAGAATAAGAAGCTACGTGCAGAAAATCAACGTTAATAACAGAAGCAGAGCCAGCAGCGTCAATATATAGCTTCTAGTAGAGTCCTCCGGGTGTAGCAGGCTCAGTAGCTTACTATAGAGGCAGAAAGAGTGGTCATGGAGGCTAGCCAGAGCTAGGCGGGTGAGAGACGCCAGCGCGCGCCGCCAACGTGCACGAAGTGCCACACCCAAGGTTATAAAAGGACTTAATGCAGACTATAATAAACTATCTTATAATAAAATATGATTATATTATCTCTTATTGTTGTGGCTCAATTGTGTAGAATGTCACGTCGAGTTTGGTGGGGCGGCCAGCTTACTGTTCCGGCCAGCTCACTGATCCCGCACGTTATCGTCATTCTTGATATGTCAGCGCCACGCGATCATGTGCTCAGGCGTCAGCTAGGCTGAACACAAAGAAGCCCCATCATGTAACGCGTCAAGCTCGCCACTTCCAACATCAACTATCGAGCACATGCTTTTCTGGAGCACCATAGCAGGACAAACGCTGAAACACACCGTACGTCGTTGCAACCCCTGGCTAACAGCGCACTCACCGTATGACGTCAGGGCCTATTAACTAGAATAGCCAACATCCGTTGGAACATCTACAAGCCACAAACCATGTCTTTAAGACGCTCAGCACGCGTCGCAAGTACTAATATACCAAAAGTATCAGATTCAGATAGTCAAAATGGTGTTGCAAGGTATGAGAAAGCTACCAAATCAAATGCGGCGGCAAAGAAGCGCAAAACTTCGAAAGTCGCGTCCAAGTCACAACCACCAGGCGATGTATCAGGGAAGCCTGGAGCCAAAGAAAACACCAAGGGAATCATAGAACAGCCAATTCCGGATATTGCATCCCCATCTGACCCCGTAACGCCTCTTCCCAAGAAACGCAAAACGAAGCCAACTGGAGAATCGCCAATAAAGCTAGTCCCTTTTACACCCACTCCTGCAGCCGTCACGCTTCTATCAAAAGGCCGAACAGACTTGGATCACCCACTGGACGATCTTTCTAACCTGCAACCCCGTCCTGCAGAACCACACATCACAAACGCACCTCTAGCGACACCAAACGGCTCTCACACCGTCCAAGCCTACGGATCATCACCAGTAAAGCCCGAAGACGCAACACCTGCTCGCAAGCGCAAAGCCAAAGAACTGGTACCTCCGGACGTGGGCGCGATCCCCAGTGCAAGCACGAACATCGATCGCCTGTTAAAAGACGCAGAAGCACATTTAGTGAGCGTAGACCCCAAATTGAAGACATTGATCGAAAAGCATCATTGTAAGATTTTCAGTCCAGAGGGGCTGCGAGAAGTAGTGGATCCATTTACAGCCTTGAGTTCCGGGATCATTGGACAACAGGTACTTCCGTTCTCATTCTCTATACCATCACCCATTCCTTCCTTCCATCCAAGCAATACAAGGAGAAAAATAAAATAAAATAAAAGAAACAGCAAGAAAATCACATACATAACGCACAACAACTAATAAAATCCTCATAGGTCTCAAGCCAAGCCGCCGCCTCCATCCGCTCAAAATTCACATGCCTCTTCCCCTCCACCCACCCTTCCTTCCCTTCCCCCTCCCAAGTCCTCGCTCTTTCCTTACCTACCCTGCGTACGGCGGGGCTATCCCAGCGCAAAGCAGAGTACATCCACGGACTCGCCGAGAAATTCGCGTCGGGTGAGCTCTCAGCTGAGATGCTAGTAAGTGCCAGCGACGAAGAGCTGATTGAGAAGCTTGTCGCAGTGCGCGGGCTGGGGCGCTGGAGTGTGGAGATGTTTGCGTGTTTTGGGTTGAAGAGGATGGATGTTTTTAGTACGGGTGATTTGGGGGTACAGTATGTTTCATCTTTTTTTTCGTTTTCTTTTACGGTTGCGAACTTTTGTGCAAGAGTCTTCCTTTTCCCTTGCTTCCCTTTTTTCAAGAAGTATGGGGAAGAAGAATAAAGCTAATGTAGGGTTTTACAGACGCGGTATGGCCGTCTACGCTGGCCGAGACGTAAGCAAACTTAAGAATAAAGGTGGGAAGTGGAAGTACGTATCCCCCTTCTTTATTCTCGTCAGTCAGCGTAAATACTAATGCAAGTCCTCTCGCAACATTTAGATATATGAGTGAGCAAGACATGCTTGCTACAGCCGCCAAGTTCTCACCGTATAGGTACGTGGTACCGCTCTTTCTTCCCTGTATAATCTTCTTTTTTCCAACAAGAATTGGAGAAACTAATGGTATTCTTTTCAGATCACTCCTCATGTGGTACATGTGGCGCATAGCCGATGTTGACGTCACTGTCTTGCAAAAGCCATGATGATCTTGCGATATCTCGTTACAGCTGCTAGCGATTGCAGCTTCACCCTTCCACGCAGCTGCAACACCGTTTCTACAAGCTACAACCAGAGGTCTGTAACCCCACCTAGCCTATCTAGTAAGATATCTCGCCTCTACAAAATAAGCTAGGCATCTAGACAGATAGCTTTAAGACTACAAAGTTACTTATAACCGCATAAGACTCATTACTGTAACATGCCTCCTACAACAACAGTGAATTGTCTCGCTATATTCGATAGCAAATTCAGTTGTACGTTCTAAAATTGCTGCAACGCTATACGGTAAACGTTTCAAAGCTGTGTTAAGTAATGCTAGTCTCTGCGCAGCGAGAAACCGTATACACTGTTAGTTGTATACTGCAAGTAGTGACTACCTAGACGACTTAGCAATATACGCAACTTTTGTCAAATCAAGTCCAAGGTAGCTTCTGGATCTTACTAAGCTGAGATATAGAGCTTTTTGGCCCCCAATAACACTATGCCATGTTTTGACCCCTTCCATACGCCTCAGCCTTGTTGAGAGGAAATGAACAAAAGGGTAGTCTGGTCACACATAAGCGGAGACATCATGATGATCATACCCTAAACAATATCTCTAGGCCTCTGCAGATATCCTCTTCGCAATGGCATTGAACACTGATTCTCGCTGGGACGTAGGCATTGGAATTACAGAAGCACTAAAACTTGTGAAACTAAGTATTAGTGCGATGAAGTTTAGTGACCGGCAGCACACCTACCCTCGCTTCTCGACTAGAGTGAGTTTACCTTGTAACAATCGTGTATGATTGCATCTTTGCAGCAAAAACTTATCTGCAAATATAGCTTGATCAATACGAAGCCAGATGTGGCAGAATCACAGACCAGCTCTATCAAGTGGGTCACTACCGAACTGTGTACACGGGCATGCCGCTTTCAGACACTATAATGAATATCAACAGGACGATCATGTCTCTGCTCCAAGGCATCGAACTGGACGGGATGAACACCTTGAACAACGCACTTGAGAGGCTAGAGGAAGAAGTTAGGACACAAGGTCTGGCAATGCCAGAATACGTGTCCCCTCAAGAAGAGTCTAACCAATCTGTGAAATGGATATGGAATGATGCTCGGAGAGAGTACCATTATTGGGACCCAGAGGGTTACTTTGTGTTTTCCAAGAGTGGCAGGGTCAACCCGGACGGAACACCATATGGCGAGGCAGGAGTAAGCCGAACAAGAACGGTGGGTGAAGATGGCAGTGAAGGGGGAGACGAATACACTGTAGTTGAAACAAAACAAGGTGTGATTACACGGTAGAGTGCCAGGAGGCGAAAGATGTGTTACGGCAAAGTCCTTTCCTACCATTGGCGCGTTGCAGTCTGGACTGTCAGGCGTGCAATATAGTATAGTTCTGTAATAAATATCTCATTTTCTTCTACTCACTATTGTACAGTAGTGAGTCCAATACAATCATAAGTCACTTCTTAGAGCCAAAGCTGTCTATTTAGTTGCCCTAACTTAGCCTAGTTTGTATAGTAGAGGTAAGATGTCTTACTAAGTTTAGATAGGACAGGTAGGGTCACAGACCCCTACTTGCAGCTTGTAGAAACGGTGTTGCAGCTGCGTGGATGGGTGAAGCTGCAATCGCTGGCAGCTGTAATATGTGTGGAAAGATGTAGTGGCAGGACTGGCATCATGACAGCAGGTTTCCCTTTCTTTTTCGTATATTTTTTTACCTCTTGATCCCCTGGTTTACAATCTAGAGGGTCGTGCGTGTATATCTTTTTTTTTGTGGAGAAGGAAGAGTTTGCGATGTGCTTGTTTTGTGGAGAAGGAAGAGGGGTTCCCGATGTGCGTATGATGTGTGCAAGTGTGGGTTTTGTGGGTCAGGTAGAGACAGGGTTTTTTTCTTAGATTTCTTAGGTGTTCTGACGAGGAAAAGATCGATTGCATATGATTATCAGTCTGTTGATCAGCAGATGATCAATAGTCGTTGACCAGGTCATTGGGATTTTTTTGATGGAGATGTCGATTTCTTGGCGTGGAGATGGCGGAGTGTTGGTACTTACATATATCGGGCTATCATTAGATTCGTCAAAAGATGCCACGTGCAAACATGTGATCAACTTCAAAGTACCATCATTAATGCTGGACTTATTCAAGTGGACAAATCAGAACACAAGATCCCTTTTTCGTATACACAGATGCCACAGCGGCGCCGCTAGTATCGTCATTGCCGGATGAAAATAGGGGTGAGACAGCGTCATCGCTAGTAACCACCAATAGCCCATGGAGGTGGAACCTCAAAGCGTCGTGCCGGCAAAGCAGCAGAGTAAGCGAGTAAAATTGCAATAAGCTTAGGGCGAGCAAAAGGCTTGATCTAGCCAAGATAACGTGAGCGTGAACATGAGCCGCACTGGAGCTTGAAAGACATCATTGTCTACCATCTTTGCTGGACCCTTTTGTTGAAGAGGGATCCGGATAGTAAAATGATCATAGTTTGATGTGTGGTCTTGTTGATACTAATGTATCACATCTGCTGGCTGCCTTGAAAAAGGGTTCCTCCGCGAGGCACAGGATGCCTCGTTCGTCCGGCGCTCGAGACTTGAGTTACATGGTCCGCTTACCCGGGAACTCTCGTCGTAAAGTTTATATTGGAACACTAACCTTGAATTGAACTATGTAGGGCATTGTACAACATGTTTGGTAAGGCAACCTTGCAGTTAAAGAACAGATTTGGGTAAAGGGTTGAGCGCAAGCAAAGACTTGTGACAGAGACTATGTTGAGCTTGTTGTGCAAGTATCGTACAAGGTGTAATGGCCAATCGAAACGGAAATGGTCTGTGGGCCTAGGTAGCTTTTCTAGAACAGCTCTCATCAGTTAGCTGGGTAGGACAAGTACTGTGCTGTTTGCTGTGTCATGTTGAGCTGCAAGTGTACATGGGCGACCTCTCGAGCACGACAAGCACAGTCATACAGTCGGGCCTTATCGTACTAGAACAATCAGCACATGCGGTGGAGGTCCTTCCTACAGACACCTAGACTTGAATAGCCATTAGGTGTTTGCCGAGGAGCCACTTTTGATATTAAGGGAGATTTGAGTTCCCCGCCAGGCCATGTTTCTTTCGGTGTGCTTAAAATGGCCGCGCGGCTAACAGTGGGTGCAGGGCAGATTACGGGGGATGAACATCAACAGAAAGCAGTGGGAGCGTCAAGACCCGGGCATGGTGGAGGTTTGTTGTCTTGGCCCGAGAACATGTAAATCATATGTTGGAATTGCCATGTGGTTGCTTTGTCGTGGTGGTATGTGCAGCAGGATGCGGCGAAAATAGAGATGTTGAAACAAAGGAAACTTGTTGTCGCGACAAAAACAAGACCGAGAGTGTGTTGCGCATGAGCATATGCAAGCTTCGCGACCGACTTGGCGCTTTCTAGAATATCTTGGATGTCGAAACAAGAAGCTGGCGGCAGCGATGTCATACCTGTCTACTTGTTTCAGCGAGTAGCGGGATACGAAGCGGAAAGGGCATGGGCTGATGTCGAGGGATGGGGCTCGGCATGGGAAATGAGACATGAATCAATGCGGGTCTTGTAATTTGCTTGGCAGACGCTGGCGAGGCTGTTCTTCGGGGATAGGGAATCGATAAGCGAGCGGATGCAGTTGTGAGCAGTGTGAACGCCTCGGGGAAAGGAAATGAGGCTGCGGGCCTCGATGATGCAACTGGGCGCGGGAACGGTAAAGGAGGCGGCTGCACGATAGCGCAAAGCAGCAGGAGGGCCCAAAGCGGTCGCCGGGGGGAGAGGAGAGAATAGCACAGTTTGTTGGCAGCATTATTGGTGTTGAGCGAGGGTGGAGATTGCAACGGGCAGGCTAGCCGGATGAGGAGCGGATGTAACCGCATTGGAGCGATTGGAGAGGTGCTCGAGACCGACGTCAGGGGGGAGCCGGCCTAGTCAAGGCCGCGTAAGAGGCAGTTGCTTGTTGTGTTTCGCATCGGCCTCGACGGTGGCAACAGTGGACAGTGGCTGCCCGTTGACTTTTGCACTACAGCACAACGTGCCGCCCATCCGCCTGTGTGGGTGCAATTGGCAATTGGCAGTTGTGAGGTGGGCACAAAGAATGGACGTGGCAGGCAGCTAGCGGGGGAGAGCGCATCATGGTCGCGTCCAGACTACTAGAGGCCTACTAGCAAGGAGGGCGAGGGGCGATGCAAACGCTACCCTGGATGCGAGGCCCGCACATGGTGGATAATACAGGATTTGGATGCTGCTTGCACTTGCTTGCGAGGGATAACGGGGCGGCCGTGCAGAGGGTGAAATTGGGACCGACGCCGCGGGCATGCTGGGCCCTCCTCTAGGGTAGGTAGATAGTACCGACAAAGAGAGGTGGTGGGTGTCACAGTCGAGCGCGGGAGCCGTGAGAGAGCCGTGAGAGAGCAGTGAGTAGTAGCACATGGGGTCGGTCGGTGGACAGACAGGATGCGGCTAGTGGCAGTGGTTTTCCTGATGGTTGTCGTCGTCGTGGTAGCAGCAGCAGCAGCAGCAGTGGCGCCAGGCGGGCAAGCATCCATGGTCCGTCTGCGGCATTGACTGCGTCCAAAGTGAGCATCGATGATGCTGGGCACCCGCCCAGGCCGCCAATGATCGCCGGCGCAACCACTAGCGCTGCCCCTAGCGCCGGCCGCGTCTGGCACCATCGCGCTCCCCTTTTCTCCATGCTCTCGCTCTTGTTTGCAAAGTCCTTCTTCTCCTTGTCTTCATCCACTCGCTCTTGACGACCGCGCCTTCTTCAATCGCGCCACTGGGACTATTCCATTTAATACTGCCTGCTTTTCTAGTTAATTCTTCCTCTCGCTCCAGCTCCCGCACCCACTCTTCCTCAGCGCCCACCAAACTGAAACGGTGCGAGCAGTCTTAACATCCCAGGTACGTAACTGTCGCAGCCTTCGGCCGACTCCACTCTCCGTTTCGACGCGCCCACTTACATTTACTCGCAGTTACCGTCCTGCTTCAATTACACAACAAAAAAATGCCTTCCATGCTCAAGCTCGCTGCTCCGGCCCTCGTCGCCGCCAGCACTGCCTACGGTGCGTGTTTGCTTTCCCAACAAGACGTGATTGCGCGGCCTCGCTAACTAGCTCCTCCAGCCGCCTGCAGCGTTTCCGCAACCACCACCATCCAGAATGCCGGCGATGCCACTGCCCTGGCTAGCTGCTCGACCTTCTCGGGTAACATTGCCATTGCTACCGGCACCACCGAGGACATTGCCATCAATGGCGTCAAGAAGATCACCGGTAACCTGGTCGCCCATGACAACTCCGACATGAAGCAGATTAGCGCCAGCGACCTCGAGACTCTCGACGGAGCCATGGACCTCAAGGGCCTCACCTCCCTCTACGCCTTGAACTTCCCCAAGCTCAAGACCATTGACTCGATCAAGTGGCAGGCGCTCCCCAACCTCCAGGAGATCGGCTTCACCTCTGAGGTCACCAAGGCCGACAAGATCGACATCCAGAACACTGCTCTCCGCTCGCTCAAGGGTATCAACATTGAGGAGGCTGACGAGATCTTCATTGCCAACAACGGCTACATTGACTCCATCTCCATGCAGCTTGGTAACGTCTCCACCTCGCTGACCCTTGCCGATAACAACGAGGCCGTCAAGGTCGAGCTTCCCAACCTCATCTGGGCTAGCAACCTGACCTTCCGTTTCTGCGGTTCCGTCTCCGTCCCCTCCCTCGAAACCCTCAACGGATCTCTTGGTCTCTACAACAACGGTTTCGAGACCTTCTCTGCCCCCAACCTGACCAGCGTTGGTGAGGCCGTTGCTGTTGTTGCCAACGAGCAACTCAACAACATCTCTTTCCCTCTCCTTACCAAGATCAGTGGTAACATCCAGATTGCCAACAACTCCAAGCTCGTTGAGGTTGACGGCCTTCCTCAACTCAAGAGCATCGGCGGTGCTTTTGACATGAGCGGTAACTTCAGCAAGTAAGTACATATTACGCGACAATCCAGAAGTCTTTACTAATCAATTTTCAGGGTCTCCACTCCCAAGCTCGACAGCGTCAAGGGTGCCTTCAACCTCCAGTCGTCTGCTCAGCTCAACGATACCTGCGACTTCTACAAGGACCTCCACTCCAAGAAGCTCATCCAGAGCAAGGACTACACCTGCGAGGGAACTCTTATCGACCCCGGCCAGCAAGGACACGACCCCACCAAGCAGAGCGGAAACAACGGCCAACAGGGCGCTGCCACCTCACTCAGCCCTGTCAACGGTGCTCTTGGTCTCGCTGCCATGGTCGCTGTTCTCTTCTTTTAAGCAGGTTGATGACGCTGGCGTTCACCGTATCGCATAGACTACACCCCCAAGGATTTGACTCTTTTTTGATAGCGTACAGCATCGAGCAGAAACGGGCGTAAAGCCCCGGTTCAGCTTCTGAGGACTGGAGGAGGGCTTGTGGGGATGGTTCATGGATCAGCATGTAACAATTGTATGTATTGTTTGGCTAAAAGGGTCGAGGTAGACATTTAATCCGCAGTATATCTAAGTCTGCCGAGCGACGTGGGGCGTAGTAGTGCCGCGAGGAAGGTTTGGTTTGGGATAGTTCATGCAATCATTCTCTTCATTTATTTTTGTTCATAAGTTACCCCGTGGAGTTGAGCGTGCAAATGGCTAAAAGTTGAATTCAAGCCTTTTCTGTCCAAGACGAGCCATGCATATTTCTGTGTGCAAGTGTGTAATGACGGTTTGTCTGTGCAGCAGTCCTGCGGTCGGCCGGCTTCGTTGCAAAATGAAGCTCTCCATTTATCATCTGTGACTAGAAGCCGCTTGTGGCAAGTGCGATACGTTGTAATCAACCTGATGACGTACATAGATGTAGCAGGTTCGGCCAAGTGTATTCAGGCTTGGAATACGATGATGTTCACAGGCAAAAATAAGTAAATAAACATTACGTAGTTGTTTTCGTATTTAGGCCTGACCTCCATCACATGCTTGAGCCCTTCTTCCTCTGCGGGTTGCACGCTTGGGCGCATGCCTCCATTCCATGTCCACAACAACAACAACAACAACTACTACTACTACTACTACTACTAAGTACACACCGCAAACCGGCTACCGCATCCGACATCTGGGTAGATAAGGCTGGGGTCAAAGGACTCTCCGTCTCCTTGGTAGTGGCCGCAGCACCAAATGAGCGGCGGGGGGGCTGTCAGCATGGACAAGGGATCCCGAGATAACATTGGTGCTGACAAGACGGCTTGCCATGGCGACAACTGCAATGGACGGGACGTTTTGAGGCTGCACAAATCAGCCCAGGTTGGGTGAAGTCTGGCACGGTAGAGTGAAGGGACATGAGCGAGACTGATTTCATTTCTGAGTCGTCGTCATCAGTGGACCTATGGCGATTGATCTACAGTTAGCGTCATTTTGCAATTGCACATGGTGCTTGCGCTGAATGCATTCACAGCCATGGTTGCACTTGCCTCGCAACACCAAGCGCGCCTGTCGTTTGCCTATCGCCCTTTCCTTATCTGCCGGCCAGTGACAGTCCGGGCCCCATAGTTAGCGACCTCTTGTTCGCGTCTGTCGCTTCCGCCCTTACCAATTGAGCATCGTGCGACGTCACCTCTAAACATCCACCAGATAGTCACACTGTCACTGCCCTCAGCCCTTCGCGCCCCAGGCGCCCCCGTCCGCCAAACTGGAGCAATCACACCCGCAATCGCCGCGTCACTCGCAACGGGAGACGAGCAACACCGACACAGTGAGAGCACGCAGCTCCTCAATACGCCTGTCCCAGGCCAGAGGGGACGAGCCCGAGGATAAGGACAACGCAGGCAGATACCGACTCAACATGCTTGCGGGCAAAGGATATTCGTGGAAGGCCGCCCAGGCAAGACTGCCACCCTCGCGTCAGGTCCTACACACGGCGCGCAATCCAAGATTCCTGCTGTCTCTAGGTCTCTTGACAGCTGTTATCTTGTTATGGCGTTCTATGGGCTCAGCCACCGGCGAGTTGCAGAGGTACGCTATTCCTATCCATGGCTCCATACCAGCACCAGGGTAATACCTGTAGCCTCATATGTCCGTCATTAATGCCCTTGTCTTAGGTTCTACTGCTCCGGCCCCTCTAAACCACCCATGCACATGTCACCAAACGAGAACGAAGAATGGCATGCTCACTTGACTACACCCGTTGTATTCAACCATCACAAGCCAATCGAGGTCAATGCCACCGATATTCAGCACGTAAATCTCAACTCAATAAAATCCACCCCGAATGCAGTCAAGAATAAGGAACACGTCTTGATCCTTACCCCACTCCGCGATGCGTCTTTCTATCTGCCCAAGCACTTCGATCTTATCGCCGAGTTGACATACCCTCACGATTTGATCGATTTGGCATTTCTCGTTGGCGACACCACAGATGATACCGTGGCGGTACTGGCCAAGGAGCTGGAGAGAATACAGAACAATCCGGAGATTGCGTTCAGATCGACCATGATTGTCGAAAAGAACTTTGGTGTAACTCTCTCGCAGAGTGTAGAGGACCGTCACGGCTTCGAGGCTCAGGGTCCACGACGAAAGGCGCTGGGTAGAGCGAGAAACTACCTGCTCGCAACTGCCTTGAAGCCCGACCATAGCTGGGTCTACTGGAGAGATGTGGACATTGTGGACAGTCCGTCTAAGATTATCGAGGATTTTGTTGCACACGACCGCGATGTGCTTGTTCCCAGTGAGTAGTTTTGTCAACAAGAGTTGAAGCGCAGCAATTCTGACTAGTCGCAGATATCTGGTTCCACCGATACAAGGAAGAAAATGGCAAGAAGGTTGACATTGAAGGGCGATGTAAGATTTTCAGCCTGATATGTCAGGGTAGCTTTTACTAACGAGGATAGTCGACTACAACTCTTGGCAGGAATCCCCTGAAGGTCTTAAACTTGCAGCTTCTCTGGACAAGAACGTTGTCCTTGCAGAAGGTATATATCGCCTCATTTCTCCACTATCAAAACTCGTCTAATTTTGTGCAGGTTACAAGCAATACCCCACGAACCGCAAGTACATGGCCAAAATGGGCGACTGGCGCGCAGACAAGGACGAGGAAATACCCCTCGACGGTGTCGGTGGTGTCAACATTATCGTAAAGGCAGATGTTCATCGTTCGGGAATTAACTTCCCTTGCTACGCCTTTGAGAACCAGGCGGAAACCGAAGGCTTTGCTAAAATGGCACGCCGAGCGGGCTACGGTGTCTATGGACTGCCAAATTATGTCGTCTGGCATATTGACACGGATGAGAAGCCTGGAAATGCTTAGATTAAATGAGCATCTTAGCTGTGTGTGTTATTGACAAGGGGGGAAGGGAGGGGAAAAGAGGAGAAAGCATATACCCAGGGAGTCGGGCGCACGCATTGGTTGTATGGCTTGGGCTTTAGGGGGGGAAAGGGCACATCTTGTGATGCCTGTATGAATAACTACTGAGGGATGAAATGGGCTATTACCTCTTTTTTGGGTTTTTTTTGCCACTTTCAAAAGGACTGATATGAGAGTTCAAAGTTTTGGGCAAGCGTATAGAACATTTTGCATGTAGCAGTGGCACTTCGAATAGAACGTATTGAGTGGGAATTATCCAGTGAACATTCGCATTGATCTCAAATCCCAGGTTTCATGTCACACAGCAAGCATGTATGCGAATGCGGTGTTAACATAATATGCATATTCCTAATCCCCACTATTTTTATATCGCACATACGAAGCTCTTAGCGCCTTGTAGAATAACATGTTTGCTCTCACCACATCCCTTTTCTAACATACATGCATCCCATGCTTGAAGCCCTCGTATAAATAAATCCCCTTCTCTCACTCTGAGGAAAACAAAAGAGGATGTATACCAGAAAGTAAAAACAACAAAAACTTTACAGCGTAAATATTCCCAAGCCCCATACATCCAAACGCTCGACCATAGAAAAAATATTGCAGCGGTTAATAATCATAAATACCCGCATGGAACTTACGCTCATCATAGTACTTTGCGCGAATCTTCCTGCCTCTAAACTCCCAGCCTTCGTCAAAACGGTTGACGGCATTGAGGGCGCTGAGGACGGATTGGAAGTGGATGTATACGACGCCGTCCTTGTTCTTCTCGTCCAGCTGCACGTGCTCAACTGGGCCAAACTTGCGTGACGTTAGTATACGAGAGACCCAAAAACCAAAAACGGTACGCGTTTTCCGGGGGGGGGGGGGGGAAGCTTACCTTGTTGCTAAACGCCTCACCCATGTCCTGACGGATACCACCGTCGTTGCGATCAGCGTTGGCATCCCAGTCCACGCCATCGACGCAACCCCAAGTAACCACGACAGACGACTCCTCGCCAAACTTGCCAGGCTCATCTTTCTGATTGCGTGCGCCGCCGCGAACATCCCAGACTTGTTGCGATTTGACCTTGCCGCCTTCATCATCAAAAGTGCTGGTTCCCTGTGGGACTTTGCGCATCTTGACTTCTAGGTGAGTGACCACTCCGTCGTTGTTCTTGCCCAGACCCTGGCCCTTTTTGTATCCCATCTTGGCCATCATCGCTTCTGCCTTGCTGATCTTGGGACGCTTCGACGGCCGTTCTTCAGGGGTTGGGTCATCGTCTGGATCTTCCATTGGAACGTCGGGACGCTCATAACGGACTGGGGGTGCTGAAATGGTCGCGTTCGCATATCGTATGGGTGGTGCAGCTATGGTGGCACCTTGGTAGGTTGAAGATGTCGGCACAGAAGTAGCTGGTGGTGGAGGCGGGGGTGGAGGCGTGTAATCATTTGTGGCTGAAGGAGGGGGCGGAGGATATCCGGGTACAGGCTCGTGTGCCGATGGAGACGACGCACTGTTTGGCTGTGGTTGTGATAGCTGCATGCGGCAAGCATAGGCATCCTCTCCGGACTGGTCAGAGGGCGGCATTGCAGGGGCATCATCGTAGGAGGCCGGCGGGGCAAATGATGGTCTGGTGGGCACTGCAGCTGGAGCAGGACTAGACGAAGAGGCTGAGTGGGAGCCGTTCAAGGGTTCGCTCTCATTACGAGATCTGTACTGGGCAGCCGCTCCTCGCAAGAATGCGTTGAAACCCTCCTTCTTGCGCTGGTAACCGCCGCTAGCCCTGTAAGCTCGTAGGTTGGAATATCGCTCGGGCTTGTGAGGCGCCTGTGGATTCCACTGGCCAAACATCTTGTTGAACTTTTTCTGTTCCTTCTTTCGCTGCTTCTCCTCATAGTTACGCATCCTACGTTCTTCTAGGATAGCGGCATCGTCGTCAGCGGTACTCCGGTAGTAGTCGATACCGTGTTGTTGGGGGTTGGCGGCAGCGGGTCCAGGGCCTGAAGAGGAGACCGGGGCAAGTGCAGGCATGGTAGGCTTCCTGACAGTTGTGCCGGGCTTCTTGGCTTGGTTCTTCGCCTGAGGGCGCTTGATGTTGTGTGGATTATGAAAAGCTGCACATTTGCATGAGTGGTGCGTCAAGGTCAAAGTGTGGAGCAGTTCAGGTAGCTACCAGGTGCTTTCTTCTGTTGTTCAGCCTTGGCCTGCTCCTCGGTGTACTTGACAGGCGCAGCGGAGATGGTGGCCGAGGCATATGGATTGGGAAGGCCCCTCTGGGCATATGGGTTCGGCAGGCCGGCAGCCTTCTGCGGCGGTGGAGATGCCATGATGTGGTGATGCGCAAGCAGGTGCGGCTTTGCGCAAGGACGCGTTCC